ATATTTCACTAATTTGACACTCAGCATCTACTAATTTGCAACCCATTGCTTTGTCAAAGGTGTGTTCTCTTTCCTCAATTAAAATTTTCAGCTACTTTGGAACTAGACTCATGATTGAAAATATATAGCTTATAATTCATATGCAAAATAGGTATTTAATATATTTCTTCTAAAATGATATCCCAAATTAGACACAAATTAATGTATACATTTTTACTCCATTTATATAAAGCACAAATAAGTCAAAAATTAATTTTTTTCTTTAAGAAGTCAAGATAGTGATTACCCTTTAGTATTTGAGTAGTGATTATATGTGAATGAGAGGGGGGCTTCCAGAATGATGATTTTTAGTGTGTTTAGTTTGTAAGAATTCATCAAGCTCTCCCAATATATGTAATCTCTTTGTATGTATAATATAAAATTTAAAATTGTTCTAAAAAGAAGGCATCTTAAAATTATTTCTGTTGAAATTTATTTTATAAAACATTCACCAATATGAAATAGAAAAATAGGCAAAATATAAGTTTCCATAATACCTTATCATGTAGAGATTCTTCTAGATTCTTTCTGAAAGTTTCTGATTCTTGAATTAAAACATTCTACAGAAGAGGGAAGAAAAACAGAAATAATTAACAAACTAAACAGAGAATAATTAAATATGTAAACTATTTTTATCACTCAAGAACCTTCTTCATCAATTTTTCTGCCTTTATTTATTAATTTCCTTGAAAACCAAGTTTCAATGGAACCTTTAAACATTACACCTTAACATTTTGAGAAATACAACTTTAAATGGGATACTTTGTAACGTTTGAATTGACAAATGGACTGAATATTATCTTTATATTTCTGTGTGCATCCTCTCAGTCACTGTAAAATTTGAAATAATAAGGTTACTCTTCAAATAAGAAAAAGGTCAATATTGTCCAGAGGTATTGTTGATAAAGAATTCAGATTATTTTTATTATCTGAAAAAACAAGCAAAGATAAGATCATATTATTTATTTATTTTTAATATATTTTTATTATTGATAGTATTACAGATATTTCCCATTTTCCCACCTTTCCTCCACTCCTCCCAGTCCATTTTTTAAATGTTCAATTTCTGGAATTCTATTTCAAATGCAGAATTATCAATTTCTGTGATAGTTAATTGTTTAGAGAAATAAAGCAAAATTTTAGTGATTTAAAACACTGATGTTACACATCATAACATGTGAACATAAGTTGCATTATAGATATTTTTAAAAAATCCTTGTCATAAAAGTATTACTGTTTTAAGCTTTATAATGTTCTTATTGTACTACAAAGGGTGATTTAAAAGCATGCATGGTTTTCAAGTTTACAGAGTTAAATTAAACCAAGAGTGTAGTAATTGGCATAGTCCATGCTTTTGGAGTTGAATGGGAAGAAGTCACGCCTATGACTCCCTAATGGGTAAATTAATCAAAATACTTTAACATTTTATCAAAACCTATTTTTTCTATGTTGGTTTATTGGATGATGCAGGGGAAAATGTCTAGCTTAAGTAATGCTGGCATTCAATCTAAATTTCCAAAATGATTTGTGCACCTAGGTTTTATTTTCTACTTTTGTTTATTGCCTTGGAATTGGAAACCAGCTCATATAACTTGCTGGTTTGGAAGCTGCCTGCTGTCAATGAGACATATGTAAATGTGAATGAAATTGCAGACTGTACAGAAGCACTTTAAAAACAACAACAATGTAGCTAGATAGATTGCATGCCTAAATTCTGTACTGAGATTGACAATAAGCTCACCCACAGTCTGGCTTTTAGACCAGTGATAGATTCAGTTACTTAAAACATTTGAATAATTCAAAACAAGCTTCCTTGCACACCCCCAACATATTTACTTTTATCTTATCACTCTTCTTCCTTGCATACGAAAGGACAAATGAAATATTTTTAACACAAAAGTGCAGCACAGCCAAAACCGGTTTGGCTCAGTAGATAGAGCGTCGGCCTGCGGACTGAAGGGTCCCAGGTTCGATTCCGGTCGAGGGCATGTACCTTGGTTGCGGGCACATCCCCAGTGGGGAGTGTGCAGGAGGCAGCTGATCAATGTTTCTCTCTCATCGATGTTTCTAACTCTCTATCTCTCTCCCTTACTCTCTGTAAAAAAATCAATAAAATATATTTTTAAAAAAAGTGCAGCACATTTAACACAATTGTCTCAGATGGTCATATTAATATGCAAAATTTATATACTATAATCTTTATTCATTTAAAAAATCGATCTTATAAAAAAGAAATAAAAATAAATAAAAATTGATTTTATACATTTTTACAGAAACCATTCATTCTCTTCTAAGAACATTCTTTTTCTTAATTAAGGAAAGTCACTGAATCATCCGATCAATGTAATGACCCCAGCTGGTATAGAACAAACGTGAACACAAGAGCGCTGTGAAATGTTCATGTGATTCTGTTCTGCTGCCATGTTACCTTCTCCTCTAGAGCAGCCATTCTCTCCTTTAAGTGTAGCTGTAAGCGTTCATTGGACTCAGTCAGAAGTCTGTCCACGGTGTCGGATAACCTTTTGTTGTGCTCCTCATTCATTTTCTCTCTTTGCCTAGCCTTATATGCAAGAAAAAAATTTGACATAAAAGCATTAAATAAGTCTCTGAGTTTATTTTTACATTTTCTGTAGTATTAAGAATGGATTTAATTTTATATTGATTTTGATTAAATTGTTAGAAACTTATTTTCTTTAAAGTGAACATGGCATATCCATAACTTTTTAAATACAACCCATGATCACGAAAAACGTTCATTTTTTTTGTATGTAGAATATAAATCCATAAACTGATCATTGAGGTAGAGGTGCTTAATAGACATACTCTTTGAAGTTCTTGATTTTTCTCTTCAAGTTGACCTTCCAGATGTCTCATACGTTCTTCAATATTTCCATGTCTCTCTTCAGCCTGTTAAGAAATATGAAGAAGGCACCTGACATGTAAGACTTGAGGAACACATTTCCTCTAAATAAACTGAAATAAAATGTAAAGCAAGCTACTACCAACCGCAAATGTAGTTTTCAAAAATAAACTTTCGTTAAACAGGCAGCTGAACAGCATTGCTTGAAATGTGTCAGCTACAAAGGCCTGTTACATCCAAGCATCAGCAAAACATTGGAGTCATTTATGAGCAATGAAATCAGCCAAATGTAACATGCAGACTGTGCATGGTTTGAACACAAACCTGCCATTGTCCAATCTTAAGCTCCTGAAGCACTGAACTGCACAGATGGTCGATTATCAATAAATAAAAGTAACATAATTTTAATAAATGAAAAGAAAAACTTAGATGGATTCTATTTAGCAATAGAAAGTAAAGTCCAGTAGGACTACCTTCCTACGTATGGAGATCATTTCTTGTAGTTTAGCTTCCATAACATATTGATAATCATCAGATGAGGTAGAAGAGGTTGGATCAGACTAACAAGTCAAGGAAAAGGAGAGGGACAAAATAGAAAAATCAGAACTAAAGACACTGACACCGAACAGAACACAGCACAGAATGCTTAAAAGAAAAGCATGACAGCAAATTCACTATTTTAATAGACAGAACTTTATGTGGAAAGATCTACACTGGTATCGGGCGAACACAATGCAGTTGATGGTTATAATTGAAAAACAATGGTATGTTCAAATAAAAAGCTACCAACCTAAGGTATGGAAGGTTAGTGATGGCTGGCGATGACAGACTACTACAGAATGAATTAAAGCAACTCCGAAAGAGTCATGTAATAATTGGAATTATGAGAAACCAAACACTAGAATATACCTCGATTGATTGTTAAAAGTTTGGTATTTTGGTTTGCTTCTTTGTTTATCGTATTACTTAAAAATGGAAACAGTGTATCTCAATGTTGAGGAATATGCTAAGGCAATGACTCTCATGAAATAAATTTGGAATAAAATTTGTTATCAGCTCAACTCTGTAGAAATCAGAGGAAAGCTAAGCCATGGGGTTAATTATTAGTAGTGTAGTCAATTCAAGCAGGATTGGGTTTCCTCAGCAACAGCAGCAAAATGAATTGTGTTCTCAAAACACACATTATGTCTGTAGGTCCTTAGGGACAGTCTTAATGTGAACTTTTAAATGGGTATTATTAACTTCTCAGATTATCGAGGTGACAATAACACTGCGAGGACAAGAAAAATTATTTGTGAAGTCTCCTGAATGGCACCAGTGACCACTCCAAAACTGTTTCTGCATTGATTTGTTGCTATGGAAACAAAATAGTGCCCTAATGTATATAGGCAGCACCTTGCCTTCGGGAGCTAAAGTTTCCCCAGTGCCAAGGTTAGTTACATGTCTTAGAGGTGATTGCCAGGTTACCACAGACGCAGACTGTTTAACACATGTGACATTGCTGATAGCTGAATTGTATTAGTATGTTATACACAGGTTACATGTAAAGTTACATCGACATGTTCATGATAATTACAACTTCTTAAGTAATTATAACATTAAAAGTAATCTATGTCAGGACAACAAAATTCAATTCTAGACCATATTCTATTACATTTATACATTTATTCTAAAACAGTGAAACTTACTGTATGCAAATATAGGACTATATATAAATATATCATTCAGTATCTGAAAAGAAATAGTCACCTATTCATGTATTGGTTCACATGCATATCTACTATTGTGTATAATAAATTCTAATTTAATCTATCAAATAACATTTAACATTTAACTGGAGTGCTTACACAAGTTATAGTTCAACATATACAGTTTTTAATTTTCCTTCTGATACCCTTATTTCATAAATATGAGAAATAATGAAGAAATAACAATAACCAAATTTTCTCTTCAAATTCTAAGCAGAAGCAACACAGAAAGCTATCATAGTCTCCAAATGTCATAAATGATTTTATAATAGCATTTAAAACTTAGAATTAAATCAAGAATACAGTTAGTGGGTCAAAATGTTGTTGAAATTCTATAATCTAAATTCATAAAGGTATTTGTAATTTTTAAAAATATAATTTAACAGACAGTGGCATGAAAATTAATCAGGGGACTGATTCAAGATAGTCAAGACATGAACATTTCAGTTTCCAAAACTGTATCTTCAAAAACACAAGTCTGATAGGTCTTTCAACATACTTAAAACTTCCACCTGTTTCTTATCATAAATAATGAAAATACACCAAAACATTGTCAAAATTCACTTCAGAGAATGAATGAGAATTCTGTCATGTTTAAATATCTATGTCATTGCTGATCTTTTTACTTGTACTAAAAATGAATAAAATACCTTGTGGAATTAAGATGAACTATGTCCTTGATGAAGGAATATGCATTGTAATTAAAGAAGTAAACATCACAAATAACAAGATTGGGAGCCAAAAATATTTATTAGTTAATTGTGTTTATACTCACAAAGGCCAAATTTTAAGTTTTCTCCATAGTTATACTTCTGATTTTCTAAAAATCTTAAATGAGGTAATGAGGTTTACCTCCTACACACACACACACACACACACACACACACACACACACACACACACACACACACATGCGTGGGAAGAAAGATACCCCTACCAACCAAAGAATAGATTCAGAAATCATTTCTGAACAGACACTGGGATCAGCTTCAACCACTGTTGATTCATGTTCACCTTAGCCTTGCAAAGACTGCAGCTTAAGCAATTGTTGTAAACACCAGTGTCACACAAGAACAATCTGCTATTTTTTACATTCCTTGATGGGATATAGAATGTATCTTCTGTTCACTCTTTAATGTGGCACAGGACAGTTCCAAATGAGCTAAAGATTCAGGAAAAAAAGATCACACAGGCAGAAGCAGTTTTGGGAAGAGTATGGATATATTTGGAGATGGAGAAGAAGCGAAAGTTACAGAGCGGGGAACCAAAGAGAAGGGAAAAAATAGGCAGTTAATAATAAAAGTAGAAAAATATATAGGCCAAATAAAATGTCTGTGGGATTGTTAAGAATACCGTTCAAAATATAGGATAGAAGAGCCTAGGTTTAAAATAGGCAAAAATACTTTATTTTTGTGAATAGTCAAAAATATTAAGAACTAGAAAAAGACTGTGATGATCAATAATAGTGAGATAATAAAAACAAATTGAAATTCAAAAAATAAATAAATAAAGCAAATTCTAGAGATGTTCCCTAATGGTCTTGAGAACAGAAGGCAAGAAAAAGTATGATTGTTGTGGCCATAAATGTTGGGGGAAAATATGAAAGAATGATCTTCAAATATTATAAAAATGTTACAGAGGGCGTGTTTTGATAAAAATCTCAGCACTAGAGGAGCATGTATGATGAATTAAATGCAGCAATCATCTGAAAATGGTATATCTGAAATGTTGTTGATATAGAGTCAGCCAGAAGAGAAATCAGTGAGAAGGAGAAGCAGAGTAAATTCTAGCATTTTTAACACTTTTTAAGAAGAATAAAACTCTACTGTAAAAAGAAGAAATCAAAAGGGTCCAGAAGAAATGAAATTTCAGCAATATATTATGAGGTTGGAGTAAACTGAGAAAATTATTTGGGTACACAAGTGAATATATGTATCAAAATAAGAGCCCAAGAGAATAAAATGAAAGGCAAAAAAGGCAAGACACATATTTCAAGTTAAAAACTATTCTAAATTAAGAATTCTCATGAATATTTAATGTAAAGTTTCATATGTAAAGTATTGCCTTTTAAATTATGTTTTATTTTCAGTCTATCAGAGGTAAAATTGGGGCAATTTTATGTTGAATTTTAAATTGTGTTTGATTGGAAGAGATTCCAAACTTTCTTGTATTTTATGCAGGATAATATTGATGATTATTTTACAATAAAATTTTACAAAAGTTATTTTTTATTATTTAGCCACCAAATTGCCACTAACATAATTCAATTCAATAAAATAACTCTTTATAAAAGTTTTCTGGGTTCCTCAGCTAAAAAGACTAATTGTACATATCTCAATCCATAATATAGTAATTGAAAATATCTTCACAAGAAAAAATTGAATGCTATTAATATATTTGCACATTTTGATATAATTTAGAAAAGATATTTAAATTAAATGTTAAACTTATCTTTATATTAGAAATCACACATTTCTGGAATTGCCAGAGGAATTTATGGCATGGTACGTGACTATGGAAGGATCCAGATTGTAACATAGCCCTAATCACCTAATGTTTAGTTCAGCTAGTCACTCCAATACTCTATAGATAACCAACTATTCCAATATTTACTAACCCTGCAATTCTTGCCAAATGTTTGCCTTTTTTCTACCCGATCGACTTCCCTATTTTAATTAATAGGTGTCAGTTTACTGTTCCTCTTTAATTATTTACTTTTGCAGGAAATCAAATATGTGTGCCTACTCTTATATTGCCACATCAATTGCTTTGAATAATCCCTAATGACAGAATTTGTAACTTGTAGTTTACCCACTTACTTGCAGTGGAGGAGACAACTTAGCACACAGTAATGATTGTGTGAACCACTAAAATATGTGTATATTGTCAATTGATATTAAAAGCCTAACACGCTTTTATTTATTTTATTTTAGTGATATGTATATATATTTTGAAACATTGTCATCTCCGTTTGATAGTGAAAGGTAAGGATAGTTTTTTTAAACATTATAATAGTTGCAGAATTCTAAAATATGCAGATAATTACAGAATCTAATGGCTATAACTTGGTAGATAATATTGAAGATTCTTCAGAATACTATAGATTTTATTTTAATTTTTAATATTTATCTTTTATTTTTATTTTTTAAATTAAATTTATTGGAGTGACAATGGTTGACATGATCATATAGGTCCCAGGTATGAGTTTCTATTTTACAAGATCTAGATATTGCACCCTGTGCCCACCACCCGAAGTCAAATCTTCTCTTGTCACCATAACTCCCTTCTTCCCCCATCACCCTCCCTCTGACAAATCACAAATACAATGAGACCACCTCACACCTGTTAGAGTGGCCAATATCAATAAGACAAGCAAGAACAAGTGTTGGAGAGGCTGTGGAAAGAAGAGAACCCTCATTCGCTGCTGGTGGGAATTTAGAGTGGCACAATTACTATGGAAAGTAGTATGGCAATTCCTTAAAAAAGTAAGAATAGAGCTACCACACAACCCAGCAATCCCTTTCCTGGAGATACACCTGAAAAACTCGAAAATATCTATTTGCAAAGATATATGCACCCCTATGTTCATTGAAGCATTATTCACTGGATAAAGAAGATGTGTTACATATACACAATGGAATACTATTCAGCCATAAGAAAGGACAAAATACTGCCATTTGCAACAACATGAATAGAACTTAAGAATATTATGCTAAGTGAAATAAGTCAGTCAGAAAAAAGTAAAGAACCATATGATTTCACTCAAATTTGGGATGTAATACTATGGATTTTAATTGGTTTGGAAGAAATTGTATCCACTAAAACCACTCTCTTACTACTTAATGGCTGGAGACCTTAGACTGCTATAAATCTAACTTCCAAATTCTAAAAATTCTTTTCTACTATAGTCAGAAATGAATCAACTGCTATGATATTTCCTATATTTACTGTACCAATTTATGTTTAGCATATTAAAATATGTCTCATGTATATACATATTAAATATCATTATGTGTTTATATTGCGATTATTCTGATGTGCAAATATTGCCATGGAAAATTAATATAAGGAAATAAAATTTTATTTTGTTAATGTTTAAGAGGGTAAGGGAATCATCACAGTCATATGTTAATCATTCAAGTCAGCATAAATAAGATATACATAGTTTGAAAAATTCACCTAAATATGAAACCAATATAATAAATATTAGATGAACTTAATTTTCATAAAGACTAAAGAAAATCTTTACAGGTTCATTTTGATTGCCAGTCATTTTTGTGAGCACATCTAAGCTGACCAAGTGTTATATTGCAGTACCTTTGTCAGGGCTGCAATTCTCTGAGCCAGCTCAGCCTCTACTTCAGGTAAGGTCTCAGCTTTTCTCATAGTCTGCTGCAACTTCTGCTCCGCAAGCTCAAGTCGTTCCTGTAACTGTCTGTTCTTCTCTTCCATCTGAAACAGGGGTGGGAAAGAGACACTTAAAGGATCACAGTTAGTATAGCAGACCCCATTCACTAGGGGGCTTGGACTTCAGCCATTATCATAGATTTAAAATTAGCTGCCACACTTACCGTGCAAAAAGATCATTCATTGCCCTCGTGTTTTTTAAATATTACTTATCCACATTCCTTAATAAAATTTAGCTCAT